ATCGCATTTCATCAATTCGATATGTACATACTGACATCTAATGCGTATGCATAAAAATTATTAGAAATGTGTTGGAAATCAAGGAGACCAAGTTTTTACTTGATTACAGTGCATTCCATGTTTATTCTGAACTTAGTAAAGGTTTTTCTTTTAAAGTTATGACCAACTTTGAAATATATCTGAAAGCATATTAAAATGAAAATATCGACACCTGAAGTGTTGCTAAGTATTATTTCATAATCTTAATTATATAAATGTATTTGATGCGCACATTTGCACTTGCAAATTGCTTCTCTGTCTTTCATCTTTGAATCCAGTTTATGGGGGAGGTGTCCTTCCATAAGCAGTACCTTTCCCATGAAGGTAACTCCATGGTTAATCCTAGGAGCGTGAGGCGCCTACAAAGGATAAGTGTCAAGTGAACTGCATTATTTTTGGCCCATGTGATCCCATGTACATGTGGGGCTCCAACTTTAAATTTGACCTAGTGCCATATGCCGTTCGAGTGGGCAAAAAAGATAAATTGTTTTTTTTTTTACACTTTTAAATTAGAGTTGATGAAATCAGGAGTCACTGAGTGTAGAGATGTAGAGATGTTGAACTGTTTTGACACACTCACACACAGATATATACAATTGGGGGGGGGCAAATATTCGTACTCATACAAATTTTAATTTATTGTATTTCCAACTAATGAATAAACATATTTTCCATATAATTAACTGTACACAGATGCATAATAACTAAATATGCATAGAAAACAGAAACAAATTGATTTAATAGAAATAAATACGATTTATCCATTTTAATGGGTGAAAAAAGTATTCATACAATGCAAATTTCAGATTTTAAAATGTTTAAATTACTTTAATACTCTAAATTATTCAAGTGGAATATTCTAGAATGTCCCAATAATGTTATCAGTAGTTTTTTTTAGCCTAAAAATACAAACAGAACATTTTATAATTGATATTCGAACATAAGAATAAGGAAAAATCGTATTGGGAAAGTGTATTGTGGACAGACGAAACCAAAACTGAGTTGTTTGGACGTAATTCTAGAAATCATGTATGGAGAAAAAATGGCGATACCGTCAAACAAATGTTCCAACAGTGAAATTTGATGGTGGCAGCATCATGGTTTGGAGAATTTTTTTCTGCAAAAGGTACTGGCAACATATCAGTAATAGATGGTAGAATGAATGCCGCAGCATATCAAAATATTTTGGAAGCAAATTTAATGATTTCGGCTGAAAATCTTGAACTTCCACCTGTTTGGATCTTCAAACAAGATAATGATCCTAAGCACACAGCAAAATTCACGAAGAAATGACTTGCTAAAAATAACGTAAGTATCCTAAAATGTCCAAGTCGATCCCCAGATTTAAACCCAATCGAGAATCTCTGGCGTTATTTGAAAATTCAAATCCAATCAAGAGCTCCAACAAACATACCGGATCTGAAGACCATATGTGAAGATGAATAGAAGAAGAGATTGGTTGCTGTAGAAGTGAATAATGGCTATTCTACAAAGTATTAAATGAAGATTATGTACTCTTTTTGCATCGTACGAATACTTTTTTCCCCCATTAAAATGGATGATTGGAATTTATTTCTATGAAATTAAAGTTGTTTTTTCTATGCATATTTAGTTATTATGCATCTGTGTACAGTTAATTATATGAAAAGTATGTTTATTAGTTAGAAATACAATAAATTAAAGATTTGTAGCTGTACAAATATTTGTTTTCTTCTACTATATATATACATATATATATATATATATATATATATATATATATATATATATATATATATATATATACAGATATCAGGTTGGTGCAAAAGTCATGTCCGATTTTTGAGAAGAAGGTTTTTAGAAAGTATTTATGAAATTTATAGTTCTCGTTATAGTTAAGAATTAAGTAATTTATACGTTTCTCATTCAGAATATAAGACTATTTTCCACGATCTTCCGCAATATTTGCACCCATGTTCGTCCCAACTAAAGATCACATTCGGCATATCTTACTGTATGAGTTTCATAAAGGTGTCAATGCAAATGCGGCAGCAACGTCTATTGAGAGCGCTTATGTAGATGATACAGTGAATGAAGGAAGTTGTAAGAGATGGTTTTCCCGTTTCCGAAGTGGGGATTTCAATTTGAAAGATGACTCAAAAAGAGGGTCACTCAAAAAACTTTACTCAGAAGAGTTGGAAGCTGTTGTCACGGACAATCCAACGATTGCCTCTAGGGATCTTGCAGAACAATTAACCGTAGACCATACAACAGTGCTTCGCTAATTAAAAGGGATTGGAAAAGCTTCAGTGATTAGGAAATAGGTCTCACACAAACTGTCTCCAGAGAATCTGCAACAACGAGTTACTTGCTCATTACTTTCACATCTTCAGGATCCATTGTTAGGTAGACTTCTTACAGATGATGAGAAGTGGATCCTTTACCATAACATTAAACGCCGCTGATCGTGAATCAGTTAAGGAGGAAGATCAGTTCAACAACTAAGAGAACTTCATCCAAAGAAGATCATGTTGAGTGTATGGTGGGGTATTGAAGGAATTGTCCATTACGAACTGTTAAGCAACAATCAATCAATTAAATCTAATCTGTACTGCGATCATTTGAAAAGAGCTTTGAACCCAAAGCGACCTTCTTTAGGGAACAAAAAAGTGTGTCATTATCCATCACGATAATGTTCGTCCTCACACAGCTCGGATAACAAAAAAATCGTTTTGGAAGAGCTTGGTTGGGAAATATTGCTTCTTCCACCATATTCTCCTGACCTTGCTCCTTCTGGTTATCACTTGTTTCGGGGACTACAGAATCATTTGGATGGTCTTAGGTTGACATCAAGAGAAAGAGCTGAAAATGAGTTGGATTCATATTTTGCTTCAAAACTTAAGGAATTTATAAGCTTGTTTACAGAGGGAATGATGTTCTAGAAATCAAAGGAGGTTACGTTAATATTTTCATAATCATGGGCGTTTTCATTTTTAATATAGACCTTGAAATCGGACATTACTTTTGTACCAACCTCATATTTACGAAATGCATATTTCTCGCTGGAATCTTTTGAAGTCTATATTTACCAATGTTTTCTAGTAGCGTAGTTGTAAAGAACGCCCGGTTTGAAGGTGATTTCCCGAATTAAATAGAGTACAATACTTTTAATAAGACCTCCAATTTCTTGACAAGTAGAAAATGTAAACCTCAATGTCAAAAATAAACAAAATAAAAACATGTCTATTCAAGCAAATAAACCTATTGTATAACTGTAATAAATCATGTTAGATTAAAAAATTATTTTGAATAGTAGAAATTAAGGAGTTCGTAGGTAATATGTCTATTTTTATCTAATTTATTATTATTATTATTAATTTTTGATTTGTAGACGTGTGTACTTTTCTTTTAGCATTGGCGATGTAATAATAAAGATATTGGAGGTTTTTTAAAATTATTTTCTATATATATTTATTTTTCATGAATTTCCGATGTCCGATTTCAAGGTCTATATTATAATTGAAAACGCCCATGATTATGAAAATATTAACGTAACCTCCTTTGATTTCTAGAACATCATTCCCTCTGTAAACAAGCTTATAAATTCCTTAAGTTTTGAAGCAAAATATGAATCCAACTCATTTTCAGCCCTTTCTCTTGATGTCAAATTTGCTACCGGTATTCTCCTATTCAAAATAATTTATCCAATCTTAATATTAAATTAATCACAACTACATCTGAAACTATTATGAATATAATCAGAACCAAAAATGTCTATAATAATAATTCTGAAGCAGATATATCTAAGATAAACTGTAACTGCTGTAACTCGACCCAATCTGAGCAAACTTAGTTATATGAGGTGAAAAATTAAGACCAAATTAGGTTAGGGTAGATCAAATTTTAACACATCGGCGAAAATATCGATAAATTAATTTAAAAAGTGGTGAAAATGGTTTCCTAAAATTTCTTCCTTTTTATTTACTTTAATATCAATTTTTGTGACTGCCTGCAGATACTTATCATTAACGGCGCGTCATGAATTATTTTGGCGACGGCACCCAATAATTCTTCGATCATGCGCAGTGCGGACGGAAACGCATGTGTTAAAGAAACAACAAAAAGTGTTGTTTAATTCTGTTTTTCCTCGGTTGAGGCCAGATTGAAAACTAATCCATATTAATGTTTTAAGATATTTTCCTGTGATTTCTTTGTAAAATGATAATAATGGCAATTTTTCTCCTCGCCTCAATTGGTAGATCATAGCATTTCAATGAATATATAAAAGATTTAGCCATAATGATTTTATTGTAACTGAGTGTCGCGTATAACATGTCGTATATTCCCATATACAAGGTTTTGATGCGAAAAGATTCACGAGTTTTATGGCACATTTTTGGTTGTCATTAGCCATGACAAAAAATTTGCAGGATGTCTATTGTAGCCATCGCTGCATTATTATTATTATTATTATTATTATTATTATATGATTATAATACTCTAAGAAACTCACTGAAGGTCTTTGAAGTTTATTACGGAAAACCATGCACTCCCGTTGAGAATATAGGAAAAATGCTTTATTGGAACGTATATATGTATTCGGCTGTTAAGTTAGGATAGATTCTGATATTGACACCTTTTGTTTATTTCAGTCTTCACAGTGGTATTGTCATAGTGTTATTTACGGTGGAACGGTGTCACGGCGATATGGCGTTGTCACGCCTAGACTCCATGATGCTGCCGTTCGGTTGACAATAAACACCCGTATGAAACAAACTAGCCTGACGATCTTTATATAACTGTGGAGGACAGTTATACTTTTATTTCCATTTTATTTCATGCAGAAATTTTAAGAATGGAGCGACATCAGCAACAGAAGAAAGAATCTGGTGCGGAAGGAAGAAATCGTAGGAAAAGAGAACGCAAGGATCTACAGGGATCCATTCAAGTTATGAAGAAGTTTCAGAAAATGCCACGTCAAGATGGAGTTAGTGACGATCGCGTTGTTTCCCCGCTTTTTCTTGTCACTGGCTCTGACTACACAGACACAGCACCAAGGTCAGTGGTGCAATGGTCATCTTCACCAGTGTTGCCAGCACCAATAACACCACCATCTTTACCACTGAAGGCAAAGCAAACGGTTTTATTGGATGCTTCCAATCAGCCTTCATCTTTGTTTCTTTGTCAATCTGATGAACATGCATAATATGATGATACTAAATATGCAGAATTAATGAAGAAAGATGTAGGCTTCTTAAATTTTGATGTGAATTGCGATAAATCAGACTTTTTTGACGAATTACGCATACAAATAGAAAAGATGGGTACTAAAGCTTTTCAGAACAAAGACGGCCCTTTCAAAGTTACAAAAGATCGGGAAATTATTGAGAGCTGACGTGTCGAAGAAGCGATTAGAAATGAAACGAGCACTAAACATGGGGGTGTCAACCGCACCTTCACGAATTACTGGTTTCAAAGGAAATGTGTTATTTTGCTGTTTATTGTTTTCAATCGCCCCAGTCACCAAAACACGGTATTCGAAAAATCTTTTGGATTTCAAAAATGGAAAACATGCAACGAAAGTATACCAGAACAAGAACAGGGAACTCATCATCGTGCGTCATTTCTTAAATGGAAATACTTTGAGAAACGCATATCAGAAGAGTCTACGATTGACAGAGTAACAGTGAAATTGTTATGGGGTCCTCCCCTTTTTTATATAAGTGGACTCGACCAGAATGTTACTTGGACTGCTGCCGTTAAATACCCAGAGTCAGTCAGAATAGAGATAGAGATAGCAAGAAGAGATTGTGATTGAGTTGGAGTAGAGTAATAGTGTGAGGTAACCGCTTGTAGAAGTCAGTTACAAGCACGTAAACTCTAAAGTCCTACTTCGAAGTATATATATATATATATATATATATATATATATATATATATATATATATATATATATATATATATATATATATATATATATATATATATATATATATATATATATATATATATATTATTACTACCAACCGCGTTCCTGGATTTACTAACAGTATTACCCTTTGTATTATTGTGTAAATACATTTTATTTCTTATATTCAATTCTTGCGTTTCATTGGAGACCGAATTTAATCTCGGAATCCACAACAGAAATATATGGAAGAACAGAAGCAATTGTGGAAGAATCTACTCATGCGTTTTGCGGATTGTATCAAATTTTGGCAACTCAGCATCTGGCATATTGTGGACAGCGTCATTGCATCAAGTAATAATCCCGGTGATTTGCACTCGATAAGCTACTTAGCAAGTACGACTCTATTGGAGAGTCACTTATAATTTCAAGTTGCATTCCCATTCTGCAACATTTTTGTCTGGCAAGATACAGAATGAGTTCATTGAGCGACTGGGCAACGAAGTACGTCAGTCTATCCTACAGAGAATGAAAAGAAGCAGATAATATGGAATTATATACGACACAACTCCTGACGTTTCTCACAACGAACAAATGTCTGAAGTTCTCAGGTTTTCCGATTTTGGCAACGAATCTAAACTGCCGTAGTCAAGGAAGTGTTCATTGATTTTATTATAATTCATGAAAAAGACGTTCAGAGGGTTACAGAATAAATTACTTCAAAATTGTAACGAGATGGTCTTGATTTGAACAACTGTCGTGGACAGACGTATGACAATGCTGCAACAGTAGCTGGGAAGGTGTACTGTATCCAGAAACGCATATCAGAGAAACCGGTAAGCAATCTTTATGAATTGTGACAATCATTCTTTGAATCTCGTAGGAGTGCATGCATCATCAGAACACGAGTTTGCAATATATTTTTGGAGTTGTTGATTCATTGTACAATTTTTTCTCCAGCTCAACTATGCGGTGGGGGAAACTGAAGGAGACGGTAGGGACGGCTGTAAAGCGGTCCCTAGATACAAGATGGAGTGCTAGGTGGGATGCTACTTACATTGTAAAAACGAAGTTGGATGACATAGTTAAACTGTTGGAGGATATGACGCCAACTGCTTGCTGCACAACCTGCAACCTTTCAGCCTTCTATGCTGCCGTTCTGACGTCCATCAACCGGTGACAGAAGAGATTTCAGTGCCATAGAATTAACTTCAATGAAGCTCGAGCTGACATTCAAATTCTGCACCAGTCTGTTATGAGTGAACAGGATTCTATCTGTAAACATTCAATTGCAAATGGCGAGGAAAATGCTTAGAATGGGGTATTGACGTTGGTTAACAGAGAAAGGTTAATTGTAAAAAGAGAATGGCTGGAGAGGAAACGAAAGATGAGCTTCTAAATGTGAGAGAAGAAATGGATGCTACTTTGAAGGCAGTACTGGACAGGTTGAATACAGAACTGAAAGACCAATTTACAAGATTAGGTCAGTTACATGAGCAATTTGGGTATTGAAAGCCTCATTGACTCGAAAGAAGACACGGTAGGAAAAATGCAAAATAGCTGCTTCAGCATACGAGGTTGATTTTGATGGAATAGAACTCGGTCGCGAAATTAGAAACTGCCGAATGTTAATACAAGAAAGAAAAGATAGAACCTTGCTTAAACGAAAAACCTTAATCAAGCTTTTCAACTTCACAATATCTTACGGAGATGATGTGTCTTTCAATTTACAAATAGCATTGCGTATACTGTTAGCTATTGCTGTCTCTGTGGCATTCTGTGAGCGATCTTTCAGAAAACTAAAATTAATAAAAAGCTATCTCCTAAGAATTTAGATATATAACTGTGGTTGGCGTTATAGACAAGTTTTCGATCATCAAGCCTGATCGGATGTCGCGGCTTTACGAATTCAAATAAATGAAATGTATGGTTCTAATCTTGGCATCTTTTAATTCAAGTTTTGCTGTCAGTGGTGGATCAAATAAAAAATGTATTTGAATTGTATTTAAATACTTTTTCAGAGCATTTGTATTCGTGTGAAAAAAGCATTTATATTTATATTTTTGCCTAGTTTCAGAAGTATTTGTTTTTGTATTTTTGGGATCTGGGATAAAATCACTTGTATTTGTATTTCCAATTATATCGCGTCAGTATTCACGAGAAGTATTCGTATCTGAATTTCTAAAAATTTAGTATTTGATCCATCCTGGCTTGTTGGCCACTGGTGATGGTGGCGGGGGGGGGGGAGCCGAGTCTAGCTCTTGCCCCACCCTGGACCAAGATATCGGCACATCTCTGCACAGCACATATGCACATACAGACACCCCGCGTGCGCGCACACACACACACACACACACACAGATACCCACATACACAGACAAGAAAAACCACATACACACACGCACAGACACACGCATATACAAGAACCCATGAACAAGTTTTCAGAAACTAAAACGTGTCGTCACCTAACAAGCACAGGCATGCACATGCACGCGATCTCATACACGCTCACATACATAGGTGTACTAGTACATATGCACATACATATAGCCACACAGCAAGCATACACACAAATACACGCACACAGAGATACGCACATAAACAGACAAGTAAATGTAAGTACACAATCAAAATCACACTCACACAGACACACTCGGATACACAGACACAAGAACAAATTTTCATAGACTTAAGCATGTCGTGATAAAAAAAAGTCAGTAAGCCTTGGTGTGTGTTAATCATCGACTGTCTGCTGATTGATTCCTTACTAACGCCTGATACAATCGAACACGTCATATGTAATAATTCTTTGCCTATTCTATAATTCTATTCGCTCAGACATTACCAAATTCTACTGTCAGTTGGAAGCAAAAATCTATTTCCAATAAAACGCATAGCAGGATCAACCCACCCAGCTCTTCATAAAGCGGATGTCGGAAACGGTACTGTAGGTAAGGGCACGGTCCATTAGTTTGATGCCGGGTGTAGAACACGACCTGTGTGGTGTGGCCGGGCAGGTAGCTTGGTGCGTTGTTCCGTAAGGCCAATCCTGCCAAAAAGCGTGAAAAAAATGATAAACCACCAGGTGACGGTCGGCTGGGCAGTCAGGACGGCTTGCAAGTCTCCCTACCAGTCCAATCGGTTGCTAAAACCATAAGAGGTATGGCAGGCCAGGCTAGGCTTTTCCGATTCCCACCCATCGGTTTTACAAAGTCATAAATGTAATCATGAGTAGAGAAATAAACAATTTTAATCAGCTGGACACTTGCACGCGGTCCGGAGAGGAGCTAACTGAGTTATTTGCGCCAGTCAGCGATTTAGTAGTTTGGTGAGGAATAATATTGATAACAGCTGTCGTCCAGGGGATATGAAGTCCCAGGTTTAAAATCAGGGGAGGGAACTGAAGCATCTGGGTTATCAAGAGGTCAAGGTCCGTTGATCTGCGCTCAAACTTGCGTGTAAAGGCTAATGGGATGATTGGGCCGTGTGATCGATCAACAGATGTATGGAGATAGGTTTGTTAAGGAACAAAGTCGATAGAAAACTGATATACTTAATAATGCTGAAAACAAATGCAAAAATCCAGCCATCTATATGTGCATAACATATACATATATATATGACACACACACATATATCAAACGCACATTATATGTATCTATGAATATGTACATACTTTTGTAAGTACATATATTCACACACGCACACACACACACATACTCACACCCACATATATATATATATGTAAATTATGTATATGGGTACATATATGTATAGGTTAGTATGTATACTAAGGTTATCGCATTTTTGTAACCTTATGTTCCTGTGTCATAAATCGATGAACTTTTGTTCAAAAGTAATGAAAAAGGCATTAATTTGTTTTAGTTCTTTTTAAAGGTCACCCCTAAAACGAAAATTCGATTTTACCATTTACGAAATAAGGGCAAAAAATGAGAGTATTTCAGAAGCTTCATTAATGCAATTTGCTAATGATGTAATTGGAAAATACTTAATGTATTTTAATGTATTTAACACTTTATAGCTTTAGCATAACATGCAACATTACAAATAAACAAAAAATTGCAAACTTGTATAAGACTTATTTTTCAATTTGCTAATGATGTAAATATTATTGTAAAATACAATAATT